TGGTCCCGACGCTATGCATTTAGAGAGGTCTGACTGAATTTAACCACTTTACTAAGTTGTTATATTCTTATATAAGAATTTTATAAATGACTTAGTGTTTTTAAAATATTAAATTGTTAAAAAAAAATAAAAATATTTTGTCTACTTTGTATAAAACTTTGGCTCTGAACTAATACTGGTTGTCGATTCTTAATAAACAGATATTATAGGCAGGGTTGGCAATGGACTATGTCCAAGTTTGTCAATGGAACTTAATGGACCAATATCATAATCCATATTAGTCCATTAGCATAAGCCAAAATAAGGTCAATACCAAAAAAATCTCAAATATCACGTGCTATAAAATTCTAAACTCATTTATAAAAGCTATATAATTATTGTCCATTGGTCCATTGGGATAGTGACCGTCCAATGGAACCAATGGAACTGGTCAATGGACCTGGGTCCATTCATACCAATGGACAAATGTGCCAACCTTGATTATAGGACTACATTGTTGAAGACAGAAATATTAACAAATGATTTAGAAGGTTTATCAATTAGAAAAAAAATTGACAAATCGGGTTTTCAAGCACTTTAAATGAATATGGATATATTGAAAACCTTCCGTCGCTTTTAGAAACACTATGTTATTAAACACAAACGATATAAAATAAGTTTAACTTTTTAGCACTAGCATCCATCCGTGTAATATGTTATAAAAATTTATTTTATATTCGGTGCTACTTTTATATTTCTTGTCAAGAATACACATACTAAACGCATCAAACATATCAGACAAGCATTTAAACGAAAAAATTTGATATCAATATTATTATTATAACGATCTGTCAAACGATCATTAATAATACAAAAATAACTTTTATTATATCAGCCGAAAAATTATTCGAAAACAGATGTAAATAATGTGCCAGCTTGAGCTAACTTACTTGAGGCGGCTTGAGCCAAATTACTTTAGCCATCAGCTCGGGCCGGCTCGGCTTGGCTTTTTGAGCCAAGCCGAGCTGGCTCAAGCCGATCCCATCCCTAAGCTTCAGCATTTTTCTTTTTCTCTGCACGTTCCTTTCTCCTTTTGGCCACCTCTTTTTTCGCATGTTCTATACGTGCATCCAATTCTCCACGCTCTGCCAGGACTCGAATAATATTATATATCAATGGAATAAAATTATGTTTGCGTAAAGAGTTTTCGCGCTATTTCGTAGAATAATTTAGAATGTTTGTAATATATTAGTAAATAATTCATTAATCAGTCTTACCTCGTATCTTTTAAATTTGATATTCTCTAATTCAATTTTGTGTAATAATTCTTCTCTTTCTTCGAAGCTTATATCGGTTTCAAGACG